GATAGCCTGATTTGTTAAATGTAGTCAGTGTCACTCGTTGCATTTCCGGCATTTTAGTTCTTCTAAATTTACTGCCTACCTTTCTAATCCCAAGCAGCGGCAGCAGTAGAGACAAGGTAGAGGAGCATTTTAGGAATAGCTCCAGGTAGAAGTGGGCTGAGACGACGTCGGAAGTATTAACATTTGTATTTCTGTGTCTTGACTGCTATATTGCACTGTCCCATAAAAATATATAAGATGTGAAGCGGTCTTCCATTATTTTATTTTTTTTCTATATAAAACTAGAAGGCTGAACAAGGGTTTAAAAATACTTTTATTTAATGCCTTGAAACGCTTATAATCTATATAACTGTTAAGCTTTCGACTGATTATAATCACCAGATTTAGATGTTTAAAAGCTGAACAAATGTTAACAATTATTCAAACTAAGGCTGAATTAAAATCGATTAAACAACACTTGTTAAGCTTCAAATTGTTACCTGGGTAGTACTAATCATCAGGGATGCCAAGAAAGTAGCTGGGAGGAATTTTTAAAGCCGGGTCAACGCCCTCAACGGAAAAAGAAAGGCCAGAGGGATGGCCCGCCGCCTCCCAAGCGGCCTCACACGAGACCCGCTCACCATCGCCAACAGATTGGCAGACTACTTCGCCTCACTCTCAGCTATTGACCGCTACGACAGGAACTTCATGCAAAAGAACTACGCGTCCAAACAGAGCCAACATTGCCATTCCAGAGGAGTCTGTACCTACCCCCATCAACGTGCCCTTTTCGATTCGATGAACTAACCCTTGCACTATCCCGCAGCATCCGCCGGTCCGGATGACAGTCCCCATCCCAAAGCAGGGGCAAGTGGCCTCTACCCCGGAAAGCTTCCATCCGATCTCTCTGACGTGCTGCACTAGTCAAGTCATGGAACGGATGGTCAATCGCCGTCCAATTCGCTTCCTCGAGGACAACGACCATCTCGATCACCGACAGCATGCGTTCAGACCCGGTCACGGCACCGGAACGTACTTTATTGACCTGGGTCCATGTACTTCAAGAGGCAATTGGATCTAGCCAAGGCGTATAACCCCACAGGTAATCAAACAGTAGGCTGACTGCTGGGGTCTGGGTGGCCACATTCTACACTTTATAAAAAAATTCCTTTGCAGAACCTTTCGGGTGATGATCGGGAACCACCGCTCCTCAACCCGGGCGGAAGAAACTGGACTACCACAGGGATCCGTCTTAGCGGCCACCATCTTCTTGGTCGCCATGAATGGAGTATGTGGGGTCCTCCCAAAAGGAATATGCATATTTGTGTGTATGTCGCGTATGTATGCAAGTGTGCATGTCGCGTATGCTTTTGGAAGCCCGTGGAATTCCCGCAGGTTCTGAAACTGAGAGCATGCGCATAAAATGTGCTCGATTGAGGCTGGAGTTCTACAACCGACGCAAGTCCTGTGGAACGGCGTTTCACCGAAATTGTGCAAGATCTTGGTGTGACCGGTCCTCAAACGCGACGCTATCTTCTGATCCCACTGGTTCAACTGTTCTGTCCATTCCCTCGTCGTCCCTTTGATCCGTCTGATGAAGAGGGAGCGGTTTTGGGCCCACTCTGCGTCCCAAGCTTCCCGTACTTTGATCACGATCCAGCGCTTGACATCGTGTAACGGTACTTCGATGGTATAGCGAGGGGCAGATGGTCCTGCCCCAGCCAGAAAGTCAGCTTCAGAGTTGCCTGGTATTGCGCAGTGCCCCGGAACCCAGCAGAATACCGTGTTTGATGGCGCGGACTTCATCGTCGCCAGTACCCAGGGATGAGTCGGGGCCTCGGATATCAGGACTTGTATGACGCTGTGCGAATCCGTGAGGACCAGGATCCGTCGGTTGGATAGCGTTGTAGCAGCGATGAAGATGGCAGCAACTTCAGCAGAGAAGACAGAACATTGCGGCGGTAAGCTGCAGCTGGTTGGTGTGATGTTTCCGGCTAGACCGATACCGACCCCGGCCCGAGAGCGAGATCCGTCCGTGTATCGGTGAGTGTGCGTGGGGTATTGTTCCCCTAACATTTCAGCTACAGCCCAATTCATGGCCACGGAATTGTGCCCGGCTTTGAACCTGCCCTTAATCCTGCTTTCGATTTTCGGTAATGGTGTTTGCCAGCATTTGTCTCCATGCCAGTGGACCCTGGCCACTGGGGGGGAGATCTTCGTTGGCAACCGTGCGGAGGAGTCTGTTCTCCTCGTCGAGGAGGAAGATCCCTTGATTTCCGGATGTCTTCGGGATGAAAGCAGCGGCTTTGGTTGCGATAGCTGCGGTTATACGGAAGCGGAAAGGCAGGATGCCTGCGTCGATGCATGCAGCGTCAGCGGGCGTGGATGGCAGCAGGCCAGAGACAATCCAGACGTAGGTATTGTAGACTGGTGCTAACGTAGCTAAAAGATTATCCGTTGCGATGCAGGTCAACTCGTATAGAAGGCGACTGTCGATAATTGCACTCGCTACGTGAAAACGGATGCTGCGGTTGTTCGATCTATTCTGTCGTAAATGGTCCGGATGAGATTCACTCGGCTGCGGCAATTTTTCTTGACTGCACTGAAATGCTGTTCAAAGATGAGTAATCGGTCAACGAGAACTTCCAGAACTCGGACGGTCTTCTTCGGCGGTATAGACTGGTCGTCGATTTTGATCGGTGGTCCGCTAATAAAATTGCTTTTAAAGACTGATAATTCAAAGCCTACTGAGTGGGCCCACCTGGCGACGGCGGAGACTGCCACTTGGGCTCTCATCCTTGTACGTATTGGCGTGGGTCCGGTGGTGACGATGAGGATGTCGTCGGCGTAGATGGACACAAATATGTTCTTCGGTAGTTGACGGAAGACTCCGTTCATCGCCACGAGGAACAGGGCAACGGCGATAACCGATCCTTGTGGGACACCCATTTCCTCGGGAAAAGCCGGGATTTGGTGTTGCCGACTGCGACTCGGAATGAGCGGTTGGACAAGAAGTTCTGGATGAATTGAACGATGGGTCCGTTAAGACCCCAGTCGATTAGTTGCTTAGAGCCTTCGATATGTCGAGCGATACTATCTCGGTGTGCAGACCACTGTCGTAGGAGTTCTTGAGAACTTCCCCTAGGGTTGCGAAATAGGTGGACGTTCCGAAACCTTGTCGGAAAGCGTGCTGTCGATGACCAAAACAATTTCCAGCTTCGAGGTGTTGCTTCAGTCCTCGATTGACCATACGCTCTGGGACTTTGGCCATGCAACATGTTAGCGCTATTGGACGGTGGCAGAGCAGTAACAGAGAGATCCTACTAAAAGTGGCCAGCCACCGTAAACAGTAGATTATTCTACGGGATCGAACAACTGTGCCTTTCCAACGACTCTCTAACCACGCGACTAGCCCCAACGTATAACTAGGCAATCCTTCAACACCCGCTGAATCGTCATGCGTTGAACTCGGTGTACTGCCGTTTCAATACCAAGTCGCCGAAACGCTGAGGTGCAGAACGTCCAGCTACCTAGAAAAGACCACCGGGAACCACGAGGTATTTCTCCTCAGGGAGAGAAACAGAGCTCTCGGAAACTTGGTCCATCAGGAGCTCCGACCCATATCCAGGGTACACTGGAACGGAGCCAGAGGATGTGCAGAGCCAACAATACGCGCTGACCACGCTAGGAACCAAAACAGGAACTATAATGAACTTATGAACTTTTGATTTATTTCCTGAAACGAACCAGCTTAAGACTGAAAATCTCTTGAATGTTAATCGATCAACCGATCAAAGATAATTCTGAACAGAAACTCCAAGGCAAGATCGACAATAATTTCAAAGGAATTTAATTCCGATGATAACTCATTGCTGAAATACAAGCTAGTTTTAACTTCAAACTAGCTTGAAATTCAGCAAAGAGCTATCCTCCAACTTTGACAGAACTTTGAAGACAGTTTCAAGGGAATTCCTCGGAGACTGCTTAATATTTTGGATGGACTAGAGCAATCCAAGGAGGAGCATTCAAAGAGAATTTTGGGCTAATTTCCAATGAATTGTAGAGAAAGTTTCAAGCGAAATCCGAGCGAATTCCAAGGAGGGTTTCCCAAAAATAAAAAATAAAGAATTTCAAGAGATTAGCTCAAGAGTATTTTGAGAAGAGTTTCAAGGGAATTCTGATGTGAATTCCAACGTAATGCTGGGACAATACTTATTTAACGTTATTTAAACTGCGGAACATTGGACATAGAAAAAACTTTTGATATAAAAAATGGCATTCTCACTGGAATCAGACTTTTTTTTCAAGATTTTGGACTTGACAAATTGAAGAAACTGTAGGACATTGCTAATTTGCTTAGATCTCAGATAAAAATAGCGAAACTATCGGATTAAGAATTGTTATCGACAGAATTCGATTAATAAAGATCGGAGATAAACTAGCCCATGGCTAAAAATCTCCTAAATAAAGTTAAAAAAACAGTTTACTAAAGACATAAGAACGCATATTTTAAGTTTCTTAACAAATTCTAGGTTGTTTTCGATTCCCGGGTCATTTCCGGCCCACCCTCTGAAATGATTGATCCCATTATTGAAGAAGAAAAAAAACACATAACGTAAATAGTGAACGAGTGACGAGTCTCAACAATGTTGCAAAACCAAAACTGTTGCCTTCTATCTACTCCTTAATGATTTTTGAATAAATCAAAATCTAATTTTGATAAATTTCCAGAATTTTTCGTGTGGTTACCTCAACTCCTTTGTCCAGCTTCAGACCCTTTCTAGAAAACCGTTCTTGTCCTTACTACAGCAGCAAACAAAACGCAAAACTAACGAAATCAACAAACAGAAAATCTACCTACTCCGGATCCACATAGATAAAAGCTTGCACAAAAGAGATTAACCAACTAAGTACACTTCTACTTATTTGAGCAACAGGGTTTCAGAGTTAGTATATGAGGAGGGGGGGTGGCAAAAAAATGGTGCTTGGTTCGATGTTTGCTTTTCAGTGTGTAGGATTACCTCTCGTTCATTGATTGTCCAATAAAAGCGGAAATTCTCTGATTGTTAGTAAAATTTCTGGAAATGAAACAAGACGAAGAAAGAAGAAAAAAACAGAGAGCTCGATATTTGGGTTCGTTTGCTATTTTTGGTTTGTTTTAGGAAAAGAAAGTATCTAATGGCGTGGTGGATGGTGGTGTTTGAAATGGGATTTGGATTCGATTCATCACAACTGTTTGCCAAACAAAATGCGGGCTTACTAGCACTGCTGGGACGACGACTGATTGTTAGAGCAAGCAGAATGATGGATGATGATTTGATGATTCGATTTTACAACGGTGTTTGGGGAAATGGTTTTTGTCTTAAAACTCCGATTGAGTCCGAAAAAGAGTGAAAATATGGTGCCAATGGACCGAGACTTACCCTCCGGAATTCTGTAGCTTCGTCGATTCTAGTTGTCTGGCAGCTTCTTCGGTTCGTTTCAATAGCATCACCTGCAACAGAACGAAAGTAGTTTTGGTAACTTTTGGAATCTTCCCACCCTTAGAGACACGCACCTTTTGGCTCAAATTCCGGAAACACATCTCCTGGATCATGTTCGCCCTCCGCTGGGTGGTCTCGCTTCGCGATATCACCAACAGCGTGCCCCGTTCCGGGATGTACCTACACTCGGCGGCACCGATCGCCTTCTGAAACTCCCGATGCACGCCGTCGATTTTGGCACTGCTCAACAAAGCACTGAAGACAATTAAGGATGATCGAAATGAGGAAAAGATGGGGGGTGGGGAACAATGCCAATAAGAATACTCACTACTCCCGGATGTCCTCCGGCACTTCGATCTCGAACCGGAAGAAGGTCTTTTCGTTGATCGGCGGGTTGGTATTCTTCGCTCGCAGTCGATCGGCCGAAACGATTTCCGTGTAGCTGTTGTCCCAGCCGAGGTATTCCACCACGAAGAAGTCGCCCTTCATCATCTGCAAAATGGAATGCGTTAAAATCCGGCGGTAACATTGGGGCAACATGGCAAGCGAACCTTGATGACCGCTCGCCACCAGCCGCATGCTTCGTTCTCGTTGGACCGGGAGTACACCTCGACCTCCATGTGCTCGCAGAATGTGGTCGGGGTATCGGTTGGAGGTAGACGGACTTGACTGAACAGGAACTTGGACTCCTCCTGCCAGCTGAGAATGAATGGAATAAGAGTCGAACGATGGATCCAGTCAGTTAATTCGCTTTGCTTCGTTAGGATATGGGGGACTTACTCATTTTCAAATGCAACTAGGACTCCATCTTCGAACACATCCGTGACAACTCCCTGTGGGGAAAAAAACAATGATGAAATTAAAGATAAATTCAATGAATTATGACGAAACGCAAGTTCAGTGCTGGTATAAAAAATCAAATGCGAGGAATATAGGAAGACGGCATAACAACAGCCAAACTCGGTTTCAATACTCGAGCGGTAAGGCAGCGAATGTGTGGGTGGCAATGGTGAGAACACCAGCGGAGGTACCGGATATCGATCTGTTGCTGATGTTGAGGAAACGGGCCATCCGGCCTAGATTCAACGGAACCTTCTCAGAAAACTCAGCGCTAGCTGGCGTTGCTAAATTGCTGATCATCTCACCATTTACGTTGCAACTCTGACAGAATTAGCGTGACCGCCCTGCTTCCAGGTGCCATCTTTTCGACAAATTTCCAGGCCAGGCATCTTCCTTCGAATCGAGGACAGTCGAAGACCACGTGCTCCGATGATTCCTCCACATTTCCACATTCCGGACAGTAAGGTGACCTTGCGTGTTTGAACCTATGTAGGTACTGTCTGAAGCAACCATGACCAGATAGGAATTGCGTCAGGTGGAAGTTTACCTCTCCGTGCTCGAGAGAATCGGTATCAGCCTGTGTGTCCATCTAACGTTCTCCGCCGTGTCCCATTCCTGCTGCCACTTGGCTATCGACTCCGCTCTCACCATTTTCCGTACTCTTTCTCCTTCCGCATGCAGCACTCTCTGTCCGATAGGGATCACCCCCCAGCAATAGCGCATACTCAATACTGCTTCCGACGAGATGGATATGTACGCACTCACGACTCGCATGACCATGAGCTGGAACGAGGTTATGACGTGTTTCTGCCCACTGCACCGCATTGTAGCTACAGACCAATAGTTTTGTGGTGGGCTATCTGCAGCTTCGCTCCTTCCATCCAGTTTCCAATCCCGTCGATCGCCTTCGGTCGCCAACATTTCCACTTCTTCCAGCGTCGCGCGTAACGTCAAGACGACGACGTCCGCAAAGCCAACGATTTCGACTCCTTTGGGCAGCTTCACAATTAGCACGCCGTTGCACATCCCATTCCAGAGCGTTGGACCAAGAATGGAACCTTGTGGAACACCCGCCGTGATCCTAATCGATTTCTATCGCGCGTCTGTCTCGAAGACCAGCTGAATGCGTTCTTAACGTCTATCGTTATCACAACGCAATACCGATTCTCTCTGCGCTTCTGTTTGGACGATTTCTCGGCTCTATCGAACACTGTTCGAATTGCATCCACCGCTGATCTCCCTCTTTCCGGAATCCGAACTGCATCTTCGACAATCCATGCTCCCTCTTCGTACATTTCATCAGTCTGTTAAGGATAATCCTTTCCAAGGCAGAGTGTATCCAGCAGGCTGAATTACCCGGCGGTTTTCCTGGCTTCAGCAGCAACACTAGCTTCTGTATCTGTCTGGGAAGTGAACCTCGTCCAGGCATTTCTGCAGCACCATCCTGAACATGTCCGGTAACGCCTGGATCGCCACTTTCAACGCCACGTTGAGGATTCCATCCAGCCTAGAGCGCTGATTGAACAAGCGAGCGAAGCGGTTGCGTGACGTCTTTTGCTGCTGAAAAACTTTTCGCGTACATTTTGTTCTCAAGTGATTGGAGTTTTTTGGCTGTGTTATTGTGGATGTAAGGTGGGCAAAATATGGTTGTTTATATTTTCGCTCTTCCGCCCATTTCAAATGTTAGTCTAGAAATCATATCTAGTTATTGGAATCGGCTGGAGCAGGGCTGGCAGCGGTTAGTACCCAAGAAAATAGTGACTTAGTGATCAAATGGTGTTAAGAAAGTGACTTATGGTCAACCAGAAAGTGACAGTGTTTTTGGGATTTTAACCGTCATTTATTCCTGGTTAAATTAAATCGATTTCTTCTTTAATGTAGTCATACTCAAAAAATTAATCACATAGGGGAAATGGATGTAATGTTGGCTCAAATGCCCCTAATTTGGGCCCATACATAAATTCAGCAGTCGACTAAATTTTCAATAGAGACCAAACATATCCATTAGTACCGTCTCAATGACGCGTTCATCTAGATAAAATCGATTGGAAGTCGATTTGGATAAAAATTCACTGCCGCTATGGCACCATAGCGCAAAAGAAAAGGGGAAACTCTTGATTCCCCTTCTGATGAAATTAATTTGAGCAATCAATTTGATTTGCTCACGGATGATGAGAATGATCCATCATCCAGGAAAAATTCTAGTAAACTTTCCCGGCTTAATGCCAAGAAGGAAAAGATTCCCCCTATTGTGATAACCACTTCCGATTTCCATGCTCTTCGCATGGAACTTTTGAACTTCGTGAAAGTTAAATTTTCACTACAAATTGGACGTCGGGGTGAATGCCGTGTATTGGCTGAAACCTTGGACGGATTTAAATGTCTTCTCAAGTATCTTACTGAGAAGCAGCACAAATTTTTTACTTACGACACCAAAACTGAACGTGTGTTCAAGGTTGTCATGAAAGGACTGCCCAGTGGTGAATCCCTGGATCAGATAAAAGATGAACTGGCAAAATTACTTGGAGTTGTGCCACTCCAAGTAATCAAAATGAAAATGAAATCCCGTCCAGGCGATTCGCGCAACGGGATTTCTAATGATTTTTATTTAGTTCACTTCAAGTCTAAATTTCCAAAACCTCACCCAGTGCCGTAAGTGCCAGGGATGGGGTCACGGAACTAAAAATTGCTACATGCCAGCTAAATGCATGAATAGTGGTGATTCCTCTCACGCAAAGGACGACTGTCTTGTGAAGAAAAATCCTAAGAAATTTAAATGTTCAAATTGTGGTGAAAACCACAAATCCAATTTTTGGGAATGTAAGACTCACAAAGCGATCCTACAATCTCGTTCTATGTGACAGGTAGGAAACGCTCCACGTTTCCGACCAGGTACAAATTCCTCTGCTGTTAACAACGGTCAGCGAGGAACAAATTCTACATTCGTACCCGTTAGTACGAATATCACCCCTGCTTCAAATTCTTCATCTATACCTACTCCCCTCGCTGCTAACAATGTTCAGCGAGTAAATGGAGATACCTATGCTGCTATTGCAGCGGGTAGACATCAAAATACTAGCTGATATGCTTAAATCTAACTCCATGTTTGATGCTATTCAAACTGGAGTAAAATTTGCGAACAATATCGTCTTGACTTAGGAAATTCAGGAAAATATTTTAAATTGGAATGCTCGATCTCTTAAAGATAATGAAGACGAGCTATTTAACTTTTTGAGAGTTCATAACGTGCATATTTCCGTTATAACTGAAACGTTCCTTAAACCTGACCATAAGGTTAAGAGGGACGCAAATTATTTCATTTATAGTAATGATCGTCTTGATGAACCCTGTGGTGGCGTTGCCATCATTGTTCATAGACGAATCAAACATAAAATTTTTTCTTCATTTGAAACCAAAGTTTTTGAAACTTTGGGAGTTTCTGTTGAAACAAAATTTGGGCAACTTACGTTTATAGCTGCCTATTTGCCATTCCAATGCGTAGGCCAGCAAAAGAATTTTCTCAAGGGTGACCTTCAGAAACTTACCCGTCCTAGGTCTAAATTCTTCATTATTGGTGATTTTAATGCAAAACACCGCTTATGGAATAATGCTCAAAGAAATTCCAAAGGTAATATTCTGTTTGATGATTGTTCTGCAGCTTATTACACTATTCAATATCCAAACAGCCCAACATGCTTTTCTTCTGCAAGAAATCCCTCAACTATTGATTTGGTCTTAACTGATTCATGTCAACTTTGTAGCCAATTGGTTACCCATGCTGACTTCGGTTCTGATCACCTTCCAGTAACTTTTGAAATATCCCAAGAAATAATTTGTAATCCCAACAGCTCTACTTTCAATTACCATAGAGCTGATTGGGAGCAACATCGAACATTTATGGAATATAACTTTGATCCAAACATTCCTTTGCAAACCAAAGATGCTCTTGAATCTCTGATTAGATCTATAGTTGAAGCAAGAGCTGCCTCAGTACCAAAATGCGAGGTTAAATTTGATTCAATGATAATAGACGACGATCTTCAACTCTTGATCCGTCTTAAAAATGTCCGTAGGAGACAATATCAAAGAACACACGATCCTGCCATGAAAGTCATCTGGCAGGATTTGCAAAAACAAATTAAAAAGCGTTTCTCTGCCCTGAGGAACAAAACTTTTGAAAATAATGTTTCTTAATTAGAGCCGAGTTCCAAACCCTTTTGGAAGCTCACACAAATTTTGAAAAAAAAACCTCAAAAGCCTATTCTAGCGCTTAAAGAAGGTGGTAAAATTTCGATCACAAATTTGGAAAAAGCTCAGAAACTTGCTAAGCAATTCGAGAGTTCCCATAATTTCAGTTTGGGTCTTACTAGTCCTATTGAGAATCAGGTTGCTCGGGATTATCTGAATATTTTCTCTCGGGAAAATATTTTCGATCATTCCTGGGGAACTGATTGGAAAAAATAAGATCTATAACTAAAAAGTTTCATAATATGAAAGCTCCAGGTGATGATGGAATTTTCTATATCGTCATCAAAAAACTCCCAGAGAGTACCTTGTTTTTCTTGGTAAAATTAGTTAACTGATGTTTCCATTTGGCATACTTTCCTGATAAAAAAGGAAAAATGCATAAGTTGTTCCAATTTTGAAGCCGGATAAAAATCCAGCTGAAACTTCTAGCTACAGTCCAATAAGTTTGCTTTCTTCAACAAGTAAACTTTTTGAAAAGATAATTAAAACTCATTTTTTGCAGATGAACAGTTTGGATTTCGCCATGGGCATTCAACTACTCATCAACTCTTAAGAGTTACCAATTTAATTCGTTCAAACAAATCGGAAGGCCACTCAACTGGAGTTGCTCTTCTAGACATAGAAAAAGCATTCGACAGTGTTTGGCATGAAGGTTTGATTGCTAAATTGAAAAAGTTTAATTTTCCACTTTATATTATGAAATTAGTTCAAAATTATTTAACTGACAGAACTCTGCAGGTGAATT